AGAAAGGGGGGAATTGGTCATACACCCCGGGGATCGGGTTTGGTTGTCAACAACCAACCTAAAACTGGCATGTCCGTCGAGGAAATTGGCACCCAAATTTGTGGGGGCCTTTTCAAGTAGAACGTAAGGTCAATGAAGTGGCATTTAAACTAGCACTTCCCGAATCCCTTAAAATACATCCGGTTTTCCATGTGTCGCTGCTGAAACCTGCAGTACCAGATCCCTTTTCAGATCGCAGATCTAGACCTCCAGAGGCCATAGACATTGATGGGGAAGATGAATTCGAGGTAGAGGCAATTATGGACTGCAGGAAAAGGGGTAGTCAAATGCAATACCTGATCAAGGGGAAAAGGCTATGGGCCAGAGGAGAATTCGTGGGAACCTGCTCAAAATGTCCATGCTCCCAGATTGATGTGGAAATTCCTTCGCGACCAGCCTCAAAAGGGGAATTGGGTGGGCATCCGGAGGCTGCCCGTAAGGGGGGGCAATGTCAGGGACCTCAGATATGGCCGTGATCGCGCACAGGGTCTGCGCATGCGCGGTATGCCCGGCCACACTGGCGTGTGAGCATTGGAACCTGAGCACCCGCGATGGCAGCGGCGGTCGCACATGCGCACTCGCGATCGCGGACGCGCGCCTGGCACCAATCAGGGTGCAGGGCGCCCTATTTAAAACAGGACAGGTCTGTGTTCTAATTGTTGTATGGTCTTACCTGTATTCTGTGTTTCCTGTATTGAGATTGCCTTGTTGTGACCCTGCTTGACCCTGATTTGCTGATTGTCTCCTGTTCTGATCCCTGGCTTTCTGACCATTCTCCTGTTTAATCCTGCATGTTCTGATCTCCTGTTACCGAACCCGGCTTGTGACCCGTTTATCCTTCTGTCTACTGTTTTGGTACCGTTCTGCCTCTACCGTTACCAACCTGGCCTGCCCGACTCTGCTCTCGCTACCTCCTCACATCAGGCTCTCACTTGCTATACACCTCCGCTGGTGCTTCTACAACAGCTGGGTGAACCCAGGGGTCACGACCTGGTCTTGGCCTGCTCCAAGTCCATCCCCACCATCAGGGTCCCTGGTGAACAAGCAGGTTGGGACTTAGATTCCACGCCTTGGGGGATTCCGGTCTGTGGAACGCTAGAGGCTACCACGGGCAGGGACATAACAAGAGCGTAGTAAACATCCCGGGGTATGATAAAATTTGAAACACGAAATCATAAATTATAATATAATAAAAATAATCATAAAAAATAACAATAATACATTTTATTCAATAATGTAATCAAACCAAAAACACTGAAATTTGAAACAGAGCGTCAAGTTTGCACATCACTGAGCTCAGTCGCAGAATCATTTTCAGTGTCTGATGATGAATTTCCCCACGAATCATTATCACTCAATTCTGCAAGTGGTTCTGATTTACTATCGCTGTTCTCTAGCTGGTCTAAAACCGCTTTTGACCTAAAGGGACACTTTTGGATGCCATGGACTTTTCTCAGCTTCCAAGCAGAAAGAACAGTAAAAATGCAGGCAGGGCACAGGACAGAGCACTAGGGACAAAATGTATGTGAAATGGTTTGATACAGTAATGTAATACTATCAGATTTTAGTTTATCATGTGTATGCAAAATTTTGACATTTTTAATCTCCCGCCAGTTCTGCCCCCCGTACGTCCCGACGCTCGCAGGGAACGCAACCCAGAAGAAGGATGCCGGCATCCGGCCGGATGACATGGCTGGGGACACAGCGGGAGGACAGCTTGGGACCGCGGGACAAGGTAAGTGATCCAGAGATCCCAGAGCAACGCTGCAGTGTAATCCCGAGTGTAGCTCAGGGTTACCATTTCTGGTACTGAAAATTAACCCCGAGCTACACTCAGGAATACCGCCAGGGGGGTTAAAGTAGAATTTACAAAAGCTGTTAAAGTGGAACTTCACTCTCTCAATCAACATGTACTATTTTTAATCCTTATGCTGCTAGCGTTAGTAAATAGATAGAAAAGTATATTATATTTATTTGTTGTAAATTTTTTACATTTCTTTACCTACTTTCTGGTTTCCTTGCCTAGGCAAATGATGTCATACATCCCAGGAGTCATCAGGAGGGGAGGGAGGGTTCTCAGCTCAGCCTATGCCTTAGCTAAGGGCAGATGGATTCCAGGAAGCAAATGCTACATGAATCATCTGCCCTTACTCAAGATGGCCACTGCCAGAAATACTAGGGGGTGTTTTTCAAAGTATTTCTCAACAAAATAAAGCATGGAGACATGGATGGATGGGGGAGTTTGCTTTAAATAATAAAAAATTAATTAAATAGCAGTTTTGATCTGTGATGCTTGGATGCAGTGTAGTTCCGCTTTAAACATGTTCAGTTGGCATTGTACTTTTTTATTTATTTCAGTAAATGAGATGAAACACAGTAAAACTTCATTTTGCAAAGAATATTCAATTGTGTGCAAGGAAAACGAAAAAAAAAAAAAAAAAAAACCAGTATTTGTGTTTGCACGTGATAGGATGACGAAGTCAACACAACTCAACTCATTTATTAAGCATACAGAATGTTCCCCCTGAATAGGGAATTTTCACTTAGCTTACAGTCTTAGACAATTCATTTTGAAATTGAACATGCTTACTAAAATTAGGGTCGATGTGGGAAGTTATTACCTTTGTGTGAATACATTTTTTGTTTTTTTAACTATTGAAATCTGTTAACAAAATGCTTTTTCATCATCAGAGAAGCAAACAAAAAGCCTTGAAGATGTGAATAATAGCTTAAAGCACCTACTGGCACAAAAAGGAGGATAAAAAAATGCAATATGCCTTTAAAATATAAAGACAGTTAAATAAAATAAAAGACAATACCACCAAAGGAAAGCCATATTTGTATTAAAATCACTATATATCTGATTTAATAGGCCTATAGATAAAGAGAAAATTAGACATGTGCATGCCGGAAATATTCATTTTGTTTTGGATACATTCGTTTTATTGAAGAATTTTGTTTCTTCCTATTTGTTATGTTGACCCGATTTGTTTTCAGAATTCCTTTTGTATCTTTGGTATTTGTTTTGTATATTTGTTGGTCCAGGTGGATTTGAGAAATTTTGCGCTTTTTCTGGACGTTTGCTATATATATATATATATATATATATATATATATATATATATCCAACCCACCAAAAGGAATGGCATGAGCTGATTGGACAACATTGACTGGCGTCATGTGCATCTGAATTAACAAAAAGAATGAAATTCAGATCCATTTATTATTATCCGAATCTGAATTATCGAACAAATTTGAAAATTGAATTAATTTCCATATGGGATTGAACTACTATCGCATCATGTGACGTCATCCAAATGAAACAAATCAAACAAATGCATTTGTTAATTTCGTTATAACTTTTTTTAAATTTGTTGACATTAGTTACTATGCACATTTGCAGATTTGTATACATCCAATCTCTGAAAATGACATTTTCATCCGAAAAATGAATCGGAACGAAAAGCGCATGTCTCGCGAAAATGGCTCTAGAGCCAAACTGGTTAAAGTGTCCCTCAAGCCAATACTTTTTACCCTTTTGGATAGAATGAGTTAAGGTTACAACCTCTATCAGTTTCTTACTTATGTGTACCTCTATGTAGTATGATCCCTAACTGTAATCTATGAGGGCCTCTATTTTGGATATAGCAATGGGAAAATTGAGGGCAGGTACAGTGCATCCAGAAAGTATTCACAGCGCTTAACTTTTGCCACATTTTGTTATGTTACAGCATTATTCCAAAATGGATTAAATTCATTTTTTCCTCAACGTTCTACTAACAATACCCCATAATGACAACGTGAAAGATGTTCGTTTTGAAATCTTTGCAATTTATTAAATATAAAAAGCGAATAAAAAACCACATGTACATAAGTATTCACAGCGTTTGCTCAATACTTTGGTAAAGCACCTTTAGCACCAATTACAGCCTCAAGTCATTTGGAGTATGATGCTACAAGCTTGGCACACCTATTTTTGGGCAATTTCTCCCATTCTTCTTTGCAGTACCTCTCAAGCTCCATCAGGTTGGATGGGGAACATCAGTGCACAGCAATTTTCAGATCTCTCAAGAGATGTACAATCTGGTTCAAGTCTGGGCTCTGGCTGGGCACTCCAGGACATTCACAGAGTTGGCCCGTAGCCACTCCTTTGTTATGTGGGCTGTGTCCTTAAGGTCGTTGTCCTGTCGAAAGATGAACCGTTGCCCCAGTATAAGGTCCAGAGTGCTCTGGAACAGGTTTTCATCAAGGATGTCTCTGTACATTGCTGCATTCATCTTTCCTTCGATCCTGACTAGTCTCCCAGTTCCTGCCACTGAAAAACATCCCCACAGCACGATGCTGCCACCACCTTGCTTCACTATAGGGATGGTATTGGCCAGGTGGTTTCCTCCAGACATTACGCTTGGCATTCTGACCAAAGAGTTCAATCTTTGTTTCATCAGACCAGAGAGTTTGTTCCTCATGGTCTGAGAGTCCCTCAGGTGCCTTTTGGCAAACTCCAGGCGGGCTGCCATTTGCCTTTTACTGAAGAGTGGTTTTTGTCTGGCCACCATACAGGCCTGATTGGATGATCAGTGGGATCAGGTGTCATGGCAAAGGCTGTGAATATTTATGTACATGTGGTTTTTCTCGTTTTTATTTTTAATAAATTGCAAAGATTTCAAAACAAACATCTTTCATGTAGTCATTCTGGGGTATTGTTTGTAGAATGTTGAGGAAAAAAAATGAATTTAATCCATTTTGGAATAAGGCTGTAACATAACAAAATGTGTCAAAAGTTAAGCGCTGTGAATACTTTCTGGATACACTGTATACCTGGAGGTACTGTAGCCCATTCCTGATTAACCACCTTCCGCCCGACCTATAGTACAATGACGAGTGCAAGGTGGTTCTCTCGTTCTGATAGGACGTCATATGGCGTCCTACTATTCTCACTGCGCATGCGCGGCTCAGGGAAAGACACAGCGGATCACGGAAAGAGCCGAAGATGTCGGCTCGGTCATGTGATCAGCTGTGTCCAATCACAGCTGATCACATGTAAAAATGGAAATGCCAGTTATCAGCATATCTCTCCTCTCGAGCTGTCATGCTGACAGCTCGAGAGGAGAGCCGGTAATCGGCTTTGCGTGGAGGGGACATGTACACTGATCATCAGGGCACTGATGATCAGTGTGCCCTGATGACCAGTGTGGCCCCAGAAGTGCCACCTGTCAGTGCCCATCAGTGCCACGTGCCAGTGCCCATCAGTGCCACATCAATGCCACATATCAGTGCATACCAGTGCACATCAATGCCACATATCAGTGCCCATCTGAGCTGCCTTTCAATGTCCCCCATCAGTGCCAGTCAGTGCCACCTATCAATGCCAATCAGTGCCACCTATCAGTGCTGTCCAATCAGTGCCACCTATCAGTGCTGCCAATCAGTGCCACCTATCAGTGCCAGTCAGTGCCGCATATCAGTGTGCATCAGTGCCACCTATCAGTGCCACCTATCAGTGCCGCCTATCAGTGCCATATATCAGTGCCATATATCAGTGTCATGTATCAGTGTCATGTATCAGTGCTGCCTTTCAGTGCCCATCAGTGATGTCTGTCAATGCCCATCAGTGCAACCTACCAGTGCCTCCTCATCAGTGTCCCATAAGTGCAGCCTATCAGTGCCCATCACTGCAGCCTCATTAGCGCACATCAGTGAAGGAGAAAAATCATTTATTTACAAAATTGTATAAACAAAAACTAAGAAAAAACTTTTTTTTTCAAAATTTTCAGTGGTTTTTGGTTTGTTTAAAAAAAAATTTAAATCCTAGAGGTGATTAAATACCACCAAAAGAAAGCTCTATCTGTCTCAAAAAAATGATAAAATTTTTTCATATGGGTACAGTGTTGCATGACAGCGCAATTGTCATTCAAACTGTGACAGCGCTGAAAGCTAGAAATTGGTCCTGGGCAGGAAGGGGGTATAAGTGCCCTGTAGGCTAGTGGTTAAAGGTGGAGGGACACACCAGAAGTCCAGCACACCACAATGGTACTGTGTGTCCCCATGCCAAATCCAGCAAGTTAACGAAAATGTCATCCGCTCCAATCAATTTATAACTCGTTTTTTAAGGTAACGTGCACAAAGGCTTACAGTACACTTTCCAGCTAGCTAGCAAAAATAATTATGCAGTTTAGCATTTTTTCGTTTAGGTGCACAACATTTTCAAAGTATGTGGATGCTAAACTGACTCCTCAAGGCCTCTGCATAGTATGGTCCCTAAATCTAATCTACGAGAGCCTCCATCTTAGAGCAAGATGGCCAAATTGAGGCTGGGTATGCCTGGAGGTAGCTTCATATGGCATTAAATGCACTTTACTTTTGACTGAAGTGTACTATTATCATCACAATACACTTTAATGTTAAATATGTCTTTGATGGTAATGCTGATTTTTATTATTAATCTTAACCAGTATCTTGACTAGATTATTATTATTATTCAGGATTTATATAGCGCCAAAAGTTTGTGCAATGCACTAGATTTACCGTTAGGCACAGTAGGTCTGTGCCTATAGGTAGCAGAGTCAAGGGGCCACTTTACCCTCTACAGCTATCCCCCATCACTTACACTTTTTTCCCCTTCATCAGTGGTAATATAGTAATGTCACATAAACTTATTAGAATATGCTCAGCTCAGACTGCACTAATAGAATCCTATTTATTTTTTACAGACACTGTGGAGTCTGTAAATATTGTACATTTTAGAAGCTCATAAAAAAAAAAGACTTTGTTTATTGCAACTGAATCAAAGGAGGCTGCTGCAGATCTGCAACTCCATAACACAGCATCTACCTCTGGGACCCTCTGCTCTGTACGATCCAAAATTCAGCTTCAAAATATTTTCAGGAGTCGGCTTATCGCTTTACATAGGCATTTGATTAACAAACATTCAAAACTGGCTCCTACATCTCATCAATCACGGCTGAGCTCATTATGTTTTAATACTGTGCTGCTGGCTCCTGTCTTAAAAGTTCTGCCTTGTTTTATAATTTGTAAAATACTTGACGTCTTATGGGGAGATAATTATATTTATTAATATTTCCTATAAACACAGCCAACACACTACACTGTAATACCAATACTTGAAATTACTCCAAAATAAAAGCAGAAAATTAAACTCATTGTTGTCATTTATGGCTAATACAGGTACTTGACAATCAATAAGAATGTTCTGCAAGGATAAGTGTGGCAACCAGGAAATTAGCATTAGCGCTGATCCCCTGCTGATCAGAACAGAGAGCAGGCGAAGGACAGGTTGTGTCTGCTCAGTTTATGCAGAGTAGACACAAACACACGTCCGTTTACACCTGACTGCCCCCCAATCCAATCCACCTAGTGGGAGGGGAACAGATCCCTTTCTGTTTTTTTTTTTTTAACAGAATGGATCAGAGTGGAGGTAGGCAGGCATAAACGGACACAAGTCTGTTTATACTCGCCAGTCCACAGGGGTGATTAAAGGGTCCGATTAAAGTCTGACAGGTGGACTTGATTGGGCCCTTCATGTGAAAGGGGCCTTAGACAGCAAAAAAAGGGTCCCTTTGAAGAGGAAATCCCCTTTCAGACTGCTGGCAGTGGAACAGGGAACCTTATTAATAGATCTGTAAAATGTTATATTTTTAATCTTTTTCTGTTGCAGAGATAATGGTCAGCAGCAGAGCTGACAGCCATCAATATTCCTACATCCCTTTTTAAAAAAAAAAATAGCCCATTTTCTTCTGTATGGTAAAGTCAGTGGCCAGAGAAACTGTAAAAATATCTGGTTGGCTGGCCTGGCGGTGTCTGTATCTGTGACTGCCTCCTAGCCAAGAAGAGAGGGGGCTCTGTGAGCACCAGCTTCTAACCTTCTAGCCTAGCCTGCACTACTCGAATCAGGGGGGACAAATTTTGATGAGCCTAGCCTGGGCCCTGTGGGAGAACATAATTTAATTGGTGAGAGGGAGCTGGAAATTAAACACTCTCCCATTCCCCCCCCCCCATGCTCTCTCTCCTTTCTCTCTTTTCTGCCTCCCTCTTCTTTCCCCTTTTCCCTCTCCCCCTCTCTCTCCCCCTTCTCTCTTCCATCTTCCCCCCTGCGCCCTTTTCTTTTCCTCTGTTTCAATCTCCCCAGTGTCTCTACTTCCTTCCCACTCCCTCTCTCGCTCTCTCTCCCTTTTCCTCTCACTCTCCCTCTTGCAACCTGTCTGCTCCACCCTCTGCACTATGTTGTCCATTACATACTCCTGCACTGTATACACTATGCTGTATGTCACATAGCCCTGACCAGGGCTACTGTTAGAAACTATGGAGCCCCATACAGCCAACCTGACAGGGCCCCCCCCCCCCAAAAAAAAAACAAAAAAAAATGTTTATTATGCTTCAGTTATGAATGAACACAGTGAGTGATTGGTACCAATCACTCATTGTGTTCATTCAGGGAAGAAAGGGCCTGGTAAATGTGACATATTTACCGGCCCTTCCCCTACTCTCCATCCTGAGGGATACTATTGTGCACTTGCAGCTGCTGGTGGGAAGGAGAAAAGGGAAGCCACAGCACTGCGGGGGCAGGGGCACACAGGGGGGCAAATGTATGATGAACAGAGAGGGTGATAGGTGCGCCAGGGGGGCAATTACTGGAATTGATCCCCTGTATTGTCCCCGCTGCAGCAGCTGAAAGCCAGCAAGAGGGAGAGAAGAAGTCAGCTTTCAGTTGCTGCAGTTGCTGAGAGAGTCATACAGGGGATCGGTTCCAGTAATTGCCCCTCACCATGCCAATCATCCTTCTTGCCCACATCTGATTCACCCAACTGGCTGGGCCCCCCTGCTGGCCTGGGCCCCGTACAGGAGGACTGGCGTTACCCCCTTATCCACGGCCCTGGCCCTGACCAAAGTGTTCATTGTCTCAACAATTGCTAATAAAAAAATTTGCGTTTGTAACATAAGTTCAGACAAAGTGACAATGTTCTTTATGTAGAAAAGCTTATGTAATGACAGAGTTTAATTTTTCAATAATAATCCCTTGTGCTGATGTTTATGTGTGTCTGTGAGACTGTGATAGACCCAACCAGGACAGGGGATTTCGGAGGTGTCTGCAGACTAGCTTGTTGCTTACTGACAATGAGTCCTGGTGTTTGAGGGGGCTCTATTCTTTTGGAGGTGTGTGCCTGGGGGACCTCTGGTTTAGTTTTAATTTGAATTCAAGTCCATGTCTATCCCAAAACACACAGACTCTGAGAACTGGAGGACTTGGATACAGATTTCGGGCATCTGTGTTTTGTTGGGGTATAGAATCAACAGCCCAAACCAGTGTTTGCCTATCCTGTTTAGGCGTGAAGCCTCTTTCTCCCACTGTGTAATTTCCCCATTGTGTGCCTCCTAGGTGTGGATTCCCATTGTTAATTGAGTAACATTGTTTCTGTCTGTTTGCTAATCCTCCTGGAGATTCCTACAGGATGTGATTAGTCTTGTGTCAACTTTACCTCATTAACTAACCATTGTGGAACATTTACCCCAATGTGAAATATTTGTTTTTATTGTTCAGGTGGCGACTGCCCTGTTTTTGAAGTGTATAAAAACCTGTATTTCTGTTCAGTGGGGTTGTTCCTTTGGTTTTATCTCAACATCTTGTGTATGAATGAGGCACGGGCTAAAGGACTGGTATTAGCTATCAGTCTGCTAGAAGGGTTTGGAGGGAAGGAGGCACCGATTGGCGGTGGCACCCAGTTGGGGTGCCAGGCAGTCCATCATAGAGACTGTCACCTGTGGCCCAGTAATTAGGAGTATTTTGTGATTACACGATACCCGGTCTATACTGTGAAAAGGCACAGGTTCTATTTAAGGCCTAATGCACATGAATGATATATATATATATTGGCATAAAATATGCCTAGCGTTAAAAACACGTTTTATCATGACTTGGGTGTAGAGACTGTCATAGAAGTAAATGACTGTATGCCCTTGTACTCATGTAAACGTGATGCTACATTACCCAGGCAATGCGATCTAGGAATGGAGAGGGTGGGCCTTTCAATCATCCACTTGTCCTCCATTCATAGATCCAGTTTCATTCATAGAAGCTGTAGTAACAGCTTCTATAAATGGAGGAGCTGAGCAGAAAAAGGCAAACATATTCAAGTGCTCCTAATAAGAAGCTGTGACATCTCCTCAGTTCTATTAACCCCCGCTGCACGAGAAGATTGTGGGGGTGGGAAGGCATCAGAGTAGGAAGATTTCTACTGAACTGAAAGACACAAGCACAAGGGACACATCACGCTAAAGTTAAGTAGTGTCCCTTGTGCTTATTTTGTATTTTTTTATAGGCAATCTTAGGCTTTAATATAAGTTATTTTTTAAAGATTTTAGTTTTATAGCATTTTCTTATTTCTTTATTTGCTGATGCTTACTTTATACTAGGGGTCTCTCATTCTTATTTCAGAACGTTGGGAAGTATGACGAAAATCAACTACATTAAAAATAGGTTTACATTTGTGACCCAATACGTCTAAGTTGTAACATGTATAAAACATTACAGATTTGACTTCCAGAATTTAATCAAACCATTTATAGACTGTAAAAGCTAAGAAGATTGCAGGAATAAAGAATATAAAAAAAAATTTCAGCTGGATAATTTTATGTTCTACATTCAACATAAGTAGTAGACCC